GCTTCCCAGTTTGCTAAATGCTCCGGAGCCGTGCTTTAGATGGGGCATAAGTGGAGTCATTCAGGATGGAATAGATGTGGGCGAGCTTTTCACGAACCGATAATCAAAGGCCTCTAAACCAGCAAGCAAAGCACTCGGCTTGTGGAGCGCTGGACACGAACAGGCCTGCCTGGGCATAAGTGTCCTGAGCTGCCTATTAAATTACTACAGCTTTATCCTTGTCTGGATTTTAAAGAGCTTCCTGCAATCCCTTCATGACTCAGTGTCCTGGCATAGAAATCACATAGCTGAAAGGTTAGCTTTTCAAATCCACTGGGCATATTTCACCTTCCTAAAAATAAAGACCTGGCAAAATAGCTCCAAGCTCCTTCAAAAATGCATGAAAAAAATACCTTTTAATAACTGCATGTTGTTTGAGGAGGTTTTTTTTCTTTCCTCGGTGGGGTTTGGGCTAGGGAGGATTTTCCTATTTATAATTGTGCAGCTGTTTGCTTGGCTGAATCGCTCTATTTATTATACGCCCTGTTTACCTTCCTTACCTGTAACTGCGGCACGACAAAAAAATTCTTCAGATGCATTCGCTGGAGCAGGTTGTGTTACTACAGGCCCCGGCAGCGCCGCCGACTGAGCCGTGTTGAGGGCTCAAGCACGCGAGGGAGGCTCTGGACTGAAGTGACCCCACACCGGAGCAGAATTGCTTGCTTGGAAAGAAAGCACCAATTTTTAGGCCATTTTTACAGAGACACTCTCCGCACATTGTTATCCCACCTGGACGGCCGTCTCATCTGCGCGGCCTTAATGCCATCCTTCTCTCTGCCCTCCCCACCTAGCCAGCTTGCTGCTCCCCTCCCACCTTGCTTTGCACCCATCAGGACTCCTGTTATTTTGAAATTCCTGGAAAAAGGAGCTGGGGAGTGCAAAGAAGGATGTGGGAACGGGGAACTTCATCAGCATGCAGGCTACAGCAGGCACAGGTGCCCGCAGCTTGCCCGGGACTCCTCCGGCACGTTAATAGGAGAGAGGTAGCGAGAACCCAGGCCAAGCTTGGGTGCGGAAAGGGCAGTGTTGGGCAAGTGAGACTCAGGGGCATCAAAGCCCAAGCCCCTGGGCTTGGGTCCACACATAGGACGCCTGCCAATGGATCTGGGAGCATCTGAAGCCGCGGGCTGAGAAGTCTGGGGTGACGGCTCCCTGCCGCTGCAGAGCCACATACGGTGTTTGAACAATTGAGCGCTGCTCAGTTGAGAGGGTTTGGAACAGATTTGGCTAGTTTGACCCGGAATATGACAAATTTTCCAAAAAAAATTCTGAATGGTGCCGAGTGCGAGTCCTGCCCACGGCTCCAGCCACCGGGACCCTCCTGCGGCGCTCGTTTCTGCAGCGCATTTTGCCTCCACGGGCAGGCAGGGAGAACGAAGGGTGCTGCTAGCCGGCAGGGCGTTACTTGTGACATGGCCCGCAACGGTCAAGGCCTTTAAGCGGGTCTAGGCAGGGCTGACCCTGCCTTGAGCATGGGGCTGAGCTAGATCTCTTGTAGTCCCTCCCTGCCCTTATTCCAGGGGCACACGTTCAATTTACTTGCAGCGGGACTCGCTGCCCCAGGGGAGCTGACAGGGGAGCCCGCAGCAGCTGCTGAGCACCAAAAAACCCCGTCTGGAGCTTTTTGGAGAATCTAGGCTCCTTCCATGACTTGGGGTACATCATCGGTTCCCCCCCGCTCTCCCAGAGGAGAGATGAGGATGAGTAGGCATGAAGATCTTTGATGAGAGGAAATGCTAAGGATTGCAGTGATCACCTGGAAGAGGCAAATTCTGTCCGGGGCGGGTGCTTTATGGGAACACTTGCAGCAAACAGGCCTTTCCCACCAGGAGACAGTGAGCGGGCACACCCTTTAGCTCACCCAGGCTTCCTTTGCAACCCGGTGCGAGCTGAAAACCTTGCACGGCAAATCTTGTTTGCTATCATGAGCCTCGCACGCGGCCCTCCACGCGGTTTTCGAAAAACAAGCTCCCGGCGTGTCGCAACATTACTTTAAAAAGAAATCGCAGCAAAACAAATGGAAAGACTCCTGCAGGTATAAAAAGCCCTTCCAGATGGGCCCGTGTCAAAGTAGGTCAAAATCTGCTCCTAAATATATCTGCAGCAGACATTGGCCCTTTTAAGTCTCAGAGGCTGATTCTCATTCGCGCCCGGGCTTGTAACGCCGGCGTAACCCCACGGACGTCCACGCCTCATTGACATCGGCGGGGGCTCTCTTCTTGATCATAAAGCCGCGGGCAGGCAGCGTTAAAGAAGGCGTGCTAAAAGCCTAAAGCCGACTTGCCTGAAGGCCAGGCGGGTGCGCGCTCCCCAGTTCACGTACTCAGCAAGCGCCTAGCTTTATATTGACCACGGGCGATCGTTTGCACGGGCGCATATATTTATGTGCACGGATGGCGGGCGGGCGCTGGCATAAGGATCACCCGCCCGGTGAAACGGCGCAGCTGTCGCGCTGCACTGGCCGTGCCCGGCCCCTGGGCCCGCTCACCTTGGCGGCTGAGGCTGTTGAAGGGGCTCGGTTTGGGAGCCAGCTGGCGCAGAGCCAGGCTTATATTTAATCTCTTCCATAAATACTAATAAAGGCCGTGCGCTGGGCGCAGGGAGGGGTGCACGGCGCACAGCATTAAACCTTCCAAAAATAAGCCTCTGGCGAAGCGAGCGGAGCCCGGCTTTTCCTGGACAGAGCGGGCTTGCAGGTCATGCAGCCCCCCGCGCCACAATGGCAGAATCGCTTGTCTTTCTTGTGATCAGAGGTGGCGGCCCACGCTTGCACGCACAGCCGCCCCCGTCCGTTTCCTGGGGCCGGCCGTGGCCCCCGGCCTGCGTGAAGGAAAGCTGACCCCAACCCGTCCCTGACCCCTGATTTCCTCTGCAAAACCTCCAAGCAGCCCCGCTCCCAGCAGGGAGGGCCTGGGTGAAAAGAAATGCCAGCGTGCAGACCCCTCGGTTCAGCGGTGAGGCCGGCCGGACACGCACACAGCGGCAACTCCCACCCTCTGCCAAGCGCCGCGGCGACGACGGCTCAATGGGCGCGCGCTGCAGCGGGGTAAGCGGAGGCGGAAGAACTACCCGCCCCACAAGGCCGCGCTGCGGGAAGAGGAAGGGGGCGGCGCGGGCAAAGGGCGGCATGGCCGCGGCGGGCCCGCACCAGCGCGAGCTCCTCGCCTTCATCCACCACCACCTGCGCCAGGCCGGCTTCGCCCGCGCCGCCCGCGAGCTCCGGCTGC